TTTATGTGGAAGCTTTCAATTCAAAGAAGAAAAGAAGTGGGGTTTTGATTCAAAGGAAAGCAGACAATAAAATTCATGCACATTGGAAAGGAGCAGCTGAGATTGTACTCAATTTGTGTTCAAAGTACTACGATGCTTCTGGCAATATCAAAAATCTTGACAATGACAAAAAGTTGGTGTTTGAGCAAATTATTCAAGGAATGGCGGCCAGCAGCCTCAGGTGCATTGCTTTTGCACATTCAGAAGTGACAAAAGAAGATGAAGGAACTCAAAAGGTAAAAGAAGACGGCCTCACCCTCTTAGGACTTGTTGGTATTAAAGATCCTTGTCGTCCAGGTGTCAAGAAAGCTGTACAAGATTGCCAACAAGCAGGAGTAAATGTCAAAATGATCACAGGAGACAATGTTTTCACAGCCAAAGCCATAGCCACAGAATGTGGCATCCTTAAGCCTAATCATGACACAGAAAAAGCAGTAATTGAAGGTGAGGTATTTAGAAACTTATGTCCTGAAGAAAGACTAGAGATAGTGGAGAAAATATGTGTGATGGCACGATCCTCCCCATTTGATAAGCTCCTGATGGTTCAATGCCTCAAGCAAAAAGGTTGTGTAGTAGCAGTCACAGGAGATGGCACCAATGATGCTCCAGCATTAAAGGAAGCTGATATAGGACTTTCTATGGGGATACAAGGTACTGAAGTTGCAAAAGAGAGCTCAGATATAGTTATATTGGATGACAATTTTGCCTCAATTGTGACAGTTATGAAGTGGGGAAGATGTGTCTATAACAACATTCAAAAGTTCATTCAATTTCAACTTACGGTGAATGTTGCAGCACTTGCAATTAACTTTGTTGCTGCAGTATCAGCAGGAGAAGTGCCATTAACAGCAGTTCAACTCTTGTGGGTGAACTTAATAATGGACACTTTAGGTGCTCTAGCTCTGGCAACAGAGAAGCCTACGATGGATTTACTGGACAAACCTCCAGTAGGTAGAACTGAACCTCTCATCACGAACATCATGTGGAGAAATCTCTTAGCTCAAGCTCTGTACCAAATCACAATTCTACTAATACTACAATTTAAGGGTGAGGCTATATTTAAGGTAAGTTCAGAGGTAAATGACACATTGATTTTTAACACATTTGTGCTGTGCCAAGTGTTTAATGAGTTTAATGCAAGGAACCTCGAGCAAAAGAATGTTTTCAAGGGGATTCATAGGAACAAGTTGTTTATGGGGATTATGGGTATAACCATTGTGCTTCAAGTATTGATGGTGGAATTTTTGAAGAAATTTGCAGACACTGAAAGGTTGAATTGGGGGCAATGGGGTGCATGCATTTTAATGGCAGCTATTTCTTGGCCTATTGGTTGGGTTGTGAAGTTCCTTCCTGTCCCTGAGAGACCACTGCTCAATTTCCTAAACAAGAAGAGGCAATGAACACTTGCTTGTAGATAGTTATATGATAGTATTGTGTTGAGGTCTAATCTCCTTTGTTTCACTTTGTATTTTTTGAATTTTTAACATTTCCTTCATTGTAAAGAAAATACTCTTTATGTAGTTTTTCACTATTATTTGGATTATTGTAATTTAATAAGCAGTTAAAATTAATAAGAAGATTCATCTCTTGATCATAATCTCCATGTCCTGTTATATTTTGATTCTGTATCAACTTTATTCTTTATGTGTGAGTGCACTTGGTGTCTAATAGTTTTTTCAATGTTGATCTGTTGAATTAAACTTGTGATTTTTTTTTGGATAAAAATTAAACTTGTGTTTTACACCAAATAATTGTAGCTTGTAGGCTGCAGCAATGGTTTTGCCTCACTGACATCAGTTACCTAAATTTAAAAATTGAACTATCATTACATTTTAGTCAAAGCTAAACAGGCATTCATTATAAAAAATGACAGAATCAAATGGAAGTTGTCACAATTGCTAGACATTAGCAGAAAGGATCTTTCCTTTTTCTCAATAAAATTTGGACTTTGTAAAAAATTGCAAAATAAATACACAAAAGGTCTGTCAAAACAGAAACTCCACGACTCAGACTAAGCTTTAAGAAGCCAAATTTGATACAAAAAGAAATATCACACAACTTATTTATTGCCATGAACTAATTAGAGAAAATGACAATTAAAGACCTCCTAAAAAGTTTAATACCAAATTAAGACCTTTTAAAGATTTTAAGTGCCGGAACATAGGAAGATAAGTGCTGAATTTGTGAACTTAAGTTATAACAAGATCCTGATTCAGTATTAATTTTCTCATGAGGTTCTCAGTAGAGGCATTTCATGAACCTCTCTCAAGTTGCTTGCAGTTTTCAACTTTCATTAAGTAGGACCAGAGAATGCTCATAAATTTGGACATTGATAAGAGAAATCAAGATGGCTTTAAGGTTTTTCCCAATCAGACTCACAAATAATGTACAATAGTTTCAACTAAACTATCATAGTACTTAACCAGATTCCATCAGGAGGACTTTAATTTCCTGGTTCCTTGCAAGTCTTTGCTTCTGTAAACCAGATGGTCTTAATATGTAGTCTTCAGATACCAGGTTTCTTCAATAAACTTCAACAGATAAGTAATTTAATCATTGCCAATTCATCCAATGAGTGTTTTCACCAGTGTCATCGGTGTATGGCAATTCTTCCAAAATCAGCTTTCTTTGCCGTCAAATTACTATGGGGAAATTGCACTTCATAATGCCTTATTGTCTTGACTACAATACAACTAGAATATACTCCTTTCGATTCTTATTATAAGACACTTTCAAGTTTTAGCTGTTCCATGTCTTTTAAGAAATGTTAGTTTTTTTTACATTATTTACCTTTAGATTTAAATCATGATACAATGATATTAAAAAAAGGCTAAAATTGAAAAAAAAAAATAGTTTAATTATTATAAAGTGTCCTACATTTTAAGCCAAAAATTACTCTTGAAGAGTGTTCTACAAGTAGGACCGAAGGAAGGAAATCCTAAGAAAGTATTTATGTGAAAGGAATGAATTCCTACCAATCAAACACATCCTTTTATCTCTAATGTTTCAGTCACTGTTCCAGAATTGGTGAATGAAGTTCTACCCACAGTCCAGCATACAATTAAAGCCAATGAATTTAGAGCTTGCTTGAATTAGCATTTGCATAACTAAAGTTTGCAAACTGAAGCTGGAGGAAAAGTTCGTTACTGTGATATGATTTATATTCAAATACTCTTCTGAAAAAATTGATTTCACAAATTAAAACTTGTGAGGATGTTATAATTAAAAAGCATATTTAAATATATATTTACAGAAAAGCACAAGTTTTATGTCATACACACACATATCATATATAAACTAGATTTAATCCTGTTGCACGGTTTTTTAATCAAGAAAAATGATTGAAGTAATATGAATAACAAAATTTACAAAAAAAAAAAAACAATTTAAGTAAAAATAATCTGATGTTAAACAAAATGAAGTTTAGATCTGACATATATAAAAAATTTGAAACAAAATGTTCTAATCTAAACTGGATTCTGTGTGTTGCAAGGGTTTAAGGTCATACAAATGTAAGATAAATCTTTTAATATGATATTATTTTAAAAATTAAAAAACATTGTAATGAGAGAAGCTATTGTGTTTTATTTTAAAATGTCATTATTTACGTCCGGCCAAAAAAATTATGTAAGTTAAGAAAAACGTTAGGACAAATAAATTTTAATCTTACTTGAATAGCATGCTAATTGAAAAAGACAGATTTTTTACATCTTGAAAGATACATCTATATTTATACTAATGAAGCAATTAAAATATGAAATTTCGGCAAAAAATAAATCAAAATATGAAATTATTTAATTTTTCAGACATGTATGAAATAACTCTATACGTATTAACCGTGGACACTAATTAGCAAGATAGAGGGCAACAATCATCCATATGCATTGCATGGATGATCGGTAATACTATCTTGCGAGAATCTTGAAAAACAAAAAGGACTATGAAATAATTTAGTTAAATGGAATAATTAATAATTCAATAAATTTCAATTGTTTTAGTTATTAGAAGTAATCTCAAATCAAATCTTCGTCAAGAACGATTCTAATTACTTCATGGTTTTGAAAAGGTTGTTTTAACAGATAAAATTCATTTGTTTGTAAGTAAACAATATGCATCCATATGAAATTAACCTCCTATTTATGTGAAACAATATGCTTCAATATGAAATTACACAATATGCATCAATATGAAAAAAGTAAATGGATAAGAAAAGAATTATTCAAAATTGTGCTCATCGGTGACTGACCCTAAAATGTGGATCATCCAAAGCACATCAGGATGGCATACTTCTCCTGTTCGAACTAGGGTTTGAAACTAAATTCTCCTCAAGAGGATAGATGGGGCAATTCAAGTAAAATTCAATGTAGATCCAACTTTCTATTCAATCATGAGATAAAAATCAAAATATTACTTGATGTGAGAAAAGCTTTTCCCATGAATGGATTATTGATTTTTGTTATGAACCCTAACTATTACTCACCCTCAAATCAGCCCTTCCCATGGATTCTTGTCTGAATCCAAATGAATAAAATAACTGTAGCAGTAAAATTGCATGCACATGTGACATATGCCATCCCCATCAAATGCATCGAAGATCCCTCGAAAAAAAAAAAGAAAAAAAAAAAAGACAATTGCCTCTGCTGACAGCTCCAAGAAATAACAACTAAACTATAAGACATAAGTATCATTAGGCACCACTCTATTGATTTATTTGAATACATCTTTAAATAAGATAAGTAATGATCTCCCCCTTCTAATCTGTTTATAACGGGCAAGACGTTGGATGCTCATAGTCATAGATTGAACATGATATGCTTTGAGTTTAAAATTGATCGACCTGCGTCGGAAAGCTATTGCACAATCTGCGATTCAAATAAGCAAAGAAATACTCTTTTCACTGAGGAATGCTATTTTTTCATCTGGGATACGGGACAACACCATTCTGCAATAATTTCCCAACAAAAACAAACATAAAGTATAAATTTGAAATATATGAAAAGATATAACAAATAATTATGTGATACAGTACAGTAAAACAAGTCTATAATTCTCATTTTGCATGAGAAACATGCCCATGGTGCCACTTGACTTCTCCATCACCATAAACCCCCAAGAGTTCCAACAAAAATTCTAAGAATAAACAAAGTCTTCAGGATCATCTGCACTATTACCAGGAAATATAAGTGTCCCTTTAGAATTACAAATTTACAATGTCCCAACCATGGAAAAAGACTTCAGTGACTTGCATATACGAGACCAAATTTTTCTATTAAGAGAAGATCTTTTCCAATAGCAGAAGGATGCCAAAAAAAGTTGTAGAACGTTCTTTGTTGTGCATTGGGATTTTTAGCTGATCCCTCCAACAATGATTTTCTGGGACTTGCTCCCGATTCACTTTCAAGTAGTTCTATAACACTTCTATCACCCCCTAGCAAAATCTATGTTTCAAACGATAGAATGGCATTTAAACCCAAGATACATTGCCTATCCTAAACAGAATTCTATGCCCCAAAAAAATGAGAAAATTTGCCCAAGAAATTAAGAGAAAAGGTGAACATTATTTACTGAAATAAAAGCCCTCTATTAATGATCCTCCATTTCTTCTCAGTCTTTTCCTTCTACTTCGGTTTAACCAACTATTCCTGAATACATTCCCCAACCCCACTCCACTGAGATTCAATTGATATTATGCACCTTATTTCAACGATTTGTTTCATTTTATTTAGTCTGCTGCTATGCTAGGTAGACAAAGTTTTTAAATAACTCAAAAGGTAGACACTTGAACTTCCCAAATGCCTCAAAAAGATAAGGCGAGTTGCTTTTTTCTTTTTTTTTGGGGGGGGGGAGATGAGACCCATACTGTAATTTGAAGAAATATACTTCCCTCAATCACCTCTGCAAAACCAAAAGGAAATAATACAACAGCTATATACATTCAGACAAAACTGTAAACATTAATACTTAAGGGCCAAAGAATTATTTGCAAAAGAAAAGAAGGGGAAAAGGAGTACCAACTTACAACAGCAACACAAATTAAGCAATGACCAAAATAAATTGAAACAAAAAACAAAAATGATATGCACTGATTGAGTCACAACAGCGACACAATTTTTTTCAAGTTATACCGGTCACCAGATGCTAGCCTTAACGTCAATAATCAGAAACCTTTTGGTTGCACAAGCTAGACAAAGCCTCCACTTCTTACACTAACCAAGTAAGAAACCCTCCCAGAACACCTTGACTCATAAAACTCTCGCCGCTTCAACATGCATAGCAAAAGCCTTTTTTTTTTTTTTTTTTTCAAACTTGTCTTAACCGATGGAGAAAATATCCAATTATTAATTATCCAGAAACATTGAGAACTAATTATCAAACCAATAGCCAATGTTTGTCATTTTCACTCACAATAGCCAACCAAGACTACGAATACAAAAGAAGCAAAACAAATTTCAACAATCCCCATGCAAAACACAATCCCATGGCTTCTCAATCCCCCCTAATTAGATGTAATAAACCCATACCACTATCCAATGGGCATATAAATTAAATAGAGTAGCATCAATCTATAAGATGACGTCAATCTCAATCTAATCGTGTATGAAACTCATAATCATCACAGGTAAAGAGGTCTTCTAAATATAAGAAAAATAATACCATTCTGTCCCTTCCTCTCTGTTATCTCTTCTATTCTGATAATATTATTCTGATGAGAAAGCTAAAAGGAAAAGAAGGCAGTAAAGAACATATTAAGTTAATGGAATATGCTTAATAAAAAGAACATATAAAAAATAAATTGCTTACAGAGGCATTCCATAAATTATGAATATGAAGACATTAGCATGCCAAAATGCCATAACAATGGATTGAAAAATATGAATCACGACATGTGAAGTGCCAACAGGAAAACAAAAAATTAAAAAAAAAAAAAATACAAGTACAATAGTGACATCAAGCAAATACACGATTCTGCCCACACCTCTTCATATAGAAATGAGTAAATTGGGGGTCAAATTGTCACTATCCCCTGTTATAATACTTCTAATATCAATATTAACCTTGATTCTGCGCAACAGGCAAGGGTGATGCAGTGACAACTGCTGCTTGGACAGATGATTAAGCAAAAGCATTGACCATCCAACCAGCTATAGAATTAGAAGAAGCTACAGCAGGCGGAAAGGACTACAGCAAATAAATTAGAAGAAGCTACAAAGGTGGCAAGGACTACAGCAAATAGATAAGGACCAAATATTAATCTGAATTCTGCTGATTATTATTACTCACATAGAAATGCATAAAAATGTTCAAGTTTCATAAGATCACACACCATGAGCACCAAGTGATGAATAAACAGCAGGCTTTGCAACTGCATCAACTGGAAGATTGACAGGTGTAGGTGGAAGAGGACCATTAGGAGGTGAACATGTATGATATGTAAATAAAGTCTTAAAATCTGGGTTTGGCCTTTTTTTGCAAAGCTGATGCTGCCAGTTCAAATTGCAATCATTGATAATGGGAAAACAGGGATTGAGAAAAGAAATTGAATGTCACAACAAACCAAAATACCAAAAACAATATATATAAAAGAATACAAGAACTAAAAAATAGAGGCAATGATTGAATCATCATAATAGGAGTAAACCTTAAGCAAAATGCTAAAATACTACAACTATATATGTCAATAAAAATACTTATTCTCGTTGTGATGCAGTAGAGAGTAATAATCAAAAGCTCTCATTTCCTTGTTAATCTAACAACCAAAGCATTGCTACCTTTGGTTGATTAACGTCCTCAATCTCAATGATTTAAGAGTAGGGAGGAGAAGCTAATCACGAAATAGAGGATTTGCTTCTATCAAATTTTTCAGCTGTGTTAGCATAATGCTTTGAGCTGATTTAGTGTCACCATTCTTGGCCAGCTGATTATTCTCCCTGGTATTTTAAAACAAATGCAAACTATTGAATTTTCTTCCAGACATTGGTATCCATGATACTCTGCGTACACATTACTTCAAATAGAGGGTGAAAGTTCAACTACCAACCTACATTACTTTTCAGTATTCAGAAAGTCTGTTTGTTTCAAATGGCAAAGTTTCATTCTGCACGTGTGCCACTGCTACTTGCATAAGATTTCTTACCACCATATTTCTGCAAAAGATTAAAAGAAATGGAATTTTACCTTGAGCAAAGGATATAAAGGAAGAAAAGCTTGCTTGTGCTAGACTTTATGTTATAAAAAATAAAATGATACGGGACATCAGCACAAGGAAAAAGCTGCAAAGGAATTTTAAGCATGGGGAACTGAACTTGCTTTCCAAGGTTATGCTTGATCATGTGTGCAATTTGGCGCCTCAATGCGAGGGCAAAGAGAACAATCCAATAACAAAGTAATATAGGCAAAAAGACAGGAACATAAAAAATGGTAAAGAAGATCATGACAAATGCTATGCAGAAAGCTTTTGTGATAGAATACCTGTAACCAAAATAAAAAATTGTCATCCATATGCAAGGTTTCCACCAATCTATTTTCCATGAGAAATAGGCAATAAATTCAGTGATTCAATCCCCACAATCACATTATCTATTATCTATTTTACCAAATAGAAAGGATACACATGAATATACACTATCAATCACCATCTAAAATAAATAATAATAATAAAAAATTGGAGTGATAAATGAGAAATACTTTATAGAAAGAAAAAAACTTGTATATAAAGAGGAATGATTAAATTACTGTTTGGAGTGTGGTGCGAACAGAGTATCCAACCCTTTTTCTCTCGAGCATGGATCCGTAACAAATATCTACATGACATTTCTCCATAAGAAGAAAGAGGGGGTGAGCAAGAAAAGGGAAGAACCGACTGGAAAGGCTTAGAATGGAAGCACCACTGCAAGGATTGCTGAGCTGGGATTCGATCTTGTCAAGGAAGGAAGATGCCTCATCAAAAGGCCGAGCAAGAGCAGATTTATAACAGCACGTCCCAGTAGGTTTCCCATGAAGCCCAGCATAGACGCCCTATCTTTAATAATAATTATAATATAGTGGTCGCAGAGAAGAAACCAAAATCAGAGACACGATTTTTTAAAGAAAAAAGTAGTTTTTGCGTCCTAGATAACTTATAAAGAGTTCGAATTCACGCAGTCACGCTCTCACCTTCCGTCAATGATCGCAGGGATCCTGACCTTTCGCTTCTCTTTGGTTAATCTGCACCTCTATTTATTCTAGCATTCGAAGGAAAGAACATCAACAAAATCAAGAGATGATTTGTTATCTCACTATCGAGAATAGCAGCGAAACTCCTCTACCCGGCCGACCATCTCCACCGTCGGTAATAGAATACGAATTGAAGGAAATGAAGAATGAAGGGAATGGTTTGTGAAATGGAACAATTGCGCCAGGGGACCACGAAAGAGGGGAAGAACGAAGTACCATGGAAAACTGCAGCAGACAAGGCCACAAAGGGAGAAGACTGAATCAGTTATCCTGTCTCCGGCACGAAAGAAAAGTAACGGAAAGAGGAAAGTGATTATTTTGCCCAAAAAACAGTGGAAGGGTGAGAAAAATGAAAGAAAAATAACATGCAAAATTTATATATTTTTGTTTTTAACTTTTTTTTAAATATGAGTAAATTTTGAAAAGAAATTTTATTTTTAAATTTACTTATTAATTTTTATGAAAAAATGATAATAAAATTTTTTTGAATTATGTAAATGATATTTTGATATCTAAAAATGTCATAATTCTTTTAAAATCCCTAGGAACCTTTTTGTCATTAAGAAATTAATATAAATGATCAAATTATCTTTAATTTAAGATTTCAAATGCGAACTTGTGAATTGTCGTTACACTCTTGTGATTTTAAGAAGAAAAGTTATAAATATTGAAATAAAACTTGTAAATGGTAATTGATATTTGCAACATTTAAGGAATATCAGGATTTTAAATGTGAACTTGTTAATTGCTGTTAAATTCTTGCAATTTTAATTTGAATCTTAGAATAAAATTTGTGAATGATAATTGATATTTGAAATAAGGATAATTTAATTATTTATATTAATTTCTTAATGATAGAAAAGTCCCTAAAGACTTCATTGATATTATGGCATTTCGAGAAATTAAATTATTATTTACATATTTTAAAAAGATTTTATTATCATTTTTTTATTGTCACCTCTTGCTTCTCTTTATTTTTATCATGATATTTGTAGTGTAACTATATTTTGATCATGAATTTTTATTAAACAAGCAATATATTTAATTTTTAAATTAATTAAATAAATGCTAATTTTAAATTTTTAAATTAATTTTCAGTTAAGTGCCTTTAGTTGTAGTTTCAACTTTAAAGATTATTGTATATTTAATAATTTAATAAATAAAATTTTAAATTGGATAAAATAATTTTAAATTATGTTTTTTAATCAATAATATATGATAAAAATTATATATATAATATGTTAAATTGTTAAATTTTATTATATAAATATTTTTATAAATAATAAAGTCATTATTATCTATATAAAATTAATAATTTTTCTTTCTTTTGAGTTTTCTCTCGCTCAGCCAAACATAATGAGAAAAAATTATATCTCTCCCATTTTCTTTGCTCTTCATTCTTCCTCCTTTGCAAGTCAAGCATAGCATTAATGCTTATGTGAAAATTGATAATTACACTAGAAATTTAAAATTTGGAGACAGTGCACGAAATATACAAATTAGAGGTTTTTTTTTTAAATAAAAAGCCACGGAAACACCATACAAATGACATGTTATGTCATGTTAATGAACCAAAAAATTTCTACATACCAAAAAATTTCTACATCTAAGTGATGAAGTTTCAAAAATGTGAGCATTAAAATTATTGGTAAAAGCCTGATGTGCCAATCAATTTGCGCATTTGTCTGCCTCCCTGTAGATATGATCAAAGGTGATTATCCAATCTTTTATAATAAGATTTTTGATTTTATTGATAGTAGCAATTAAAAGATAATTTGTAAAGAACTCATTGCGTATTAATGTGAGAACTTCCATGGAGTCAACGTAGACATGAACTTTATCAATTTTTTTATCTCAACAAATGCTTAATCTTTCCAAAATGTCCAAAAATTGGAGGTGTTTTTGGAATCAGCCAATGACATTTAGATATTTACATGATATCTAAGTCCTTTGTCCGATAAGATTGTAGATTTTTTTGGGCCAATCTTCATCTATGCCATTTATAGTTAATAGTTGATTGATAATTAATAATTGATAGTTAATTGATAGGTGATAATTGATTCATTGATATGCAATTTTATAAATTTTAAAAAATAAAATTATAATTATAAAAATAATAAAGCGTTGATATATTATTGTAAAAAAATATTTGTAAATATTTAAAAATTTAATTAGATCTATTTAAAGAATAGAAATTATATAAATTAGAAATAATAAAAATTAAAATTTATAAATAAAAAAATTTCAAATTTCAAAATAAAAGGAAAGGATAAATGGGTTATTCTATAATTTTAAAATTTAAAATGCATCAAAAGTTGCCAACATCCTAACGTAACAAATGCAAATACTTTAAAATCTAGCTTTTAACCTTAATATATATACAGGACTCCTAAACACATGTATCAGCACATTAGCAAGCCAACTTAGCTCCACCTTTCTCTCCCATAGTGACACGTGGATATTCAGGCTGAATAATTGCTCAATAAGATAACATGTTTGTATATGCAATCAATTAATTTCATTATTTGATTATTAAATTTATGTAAATAATAATCATGGTATTTATGGAAATTGAAATTATGCAACGAATTCAGTTATGAAAATAATTATATATTGCTAATATTTTAAAGGAAATAAGTTGGTGGCACATATTTTTTTTTCAAGAAATTGAAATCGTGCAATGAATTCTTTTATTGAAATCATGCAATTAATCCATTGAATTTTGTTTCTACCTGAAATTTCCTAAAATTAAAAGGAAATTATGTTGTAGTATACAAGTTTATGATATAAAAAATTTAAAAAAAAACATACAAAAAAATTAATGGCTTGTGTTATAAAAAAAACACATATGTAATTGAATTTGAAAAATAAAAAACACAAAAAAATATTTTGCATACACAAATAAATCAACATTAAATTAGAAAATCAATATTATTATACTAATGTCAACTGTATTTTGGATGTATAATGTTTATTCTTAAATAAGCAATATACAAAGATGTATTATTGAAAATTTCACATTAACTCATAAATACTTTGATTGATTTGGTAGCTTTTTAGAATAAGTAATTTGTATTCAAAACACAAAATCACATTATACGGGAAAAAAAAAGTCAAAAAAGCATATAAAAACAGGTTAACTACTCATGTCATAAAAAAATCAATAATTAAATTCGATGAAAATGAATTCAAAAAATAAAAACACAAAAAAAAATCTACATAACCCAAATAAATTGGCATTAAATTAGTGAATCAATATTATTGTATTGATGGTGACTATGTTTTGAATACAGATATTTATTCTTAAAATCTACCAAATCAATCATAGGAATTTCTAAATTAATGTGTCTTAAATAATAAGCAGCATGCAAAGATGGACTATTTTATTGATTTGGTAGCTTTTCTAAGAATAAATATCCATATTTAACACGTAGTTGTCCTTGGTGTAATAATGCTGGTTCTTTAATTTAAGTGTTGAAATATTGGACAACATTTTTTCAATTTTTTTTAATTGTTTGAATTTTTTCCATCTTAATTAGTTGTTACCCACGTTAGCCTCTATTTAAATCAATTACCCACTATCCCAACTATGCCAATCAAGATTTAAATCAGTTGTGATCTCATTTGACTTACTTACTTCAATTTTATTTCGACTCTCAATTCATATTTTGATTTAATTTATTGTTTATAAAGAATTAACCATACTACAACATCCTATAAATTATGGCTCCATGATTTGATATTGTCAACACTATCAAACCACTAGAGAATTAGACTTTGAGTGGTTCACATGTGGACAATGATGGATTACAAGGTGGATTCAAAAAAAATAAATTTAAATTATCATCTTCTTATCAAATCTCTATATTCTTCAACTTTTATAAAGATATTTAAATTTTAGTTATCTTTTACTATTATTATATTGTATCTTTTTTTTATATGTAAACAAGACTTGAGGATTAGAATTTCGGCAGTTCGCATGTTGATGATGATGGGTCATGAGGTAGATTCGAGGTAGATAAATTCAAATAATCACCTTCTTCTCTGATTTCTATTGTTTTCACCTTTTGAAAAGATATCCAAATCTCAGTTGTCTCTTATTATTATCATGATACATTCTTCTCCACATCTCCTAACTTTAGTTACACGTTTTAGTTCATTTCAAGTACTACTATTGAGTAATAGTTCTCCTAGCTTTCACCTTTTATGCTTGAATAATAATTAATTAGTTAGATATGGTGGATACAATGAATATGATTGTTTAGTGAGGTTTTTTTTTTCTAAATTGGTGTTGTACACCACTTTGTGATATATTTTTGGTATAGTTTCTGACATTCTATTGAATTTTAAAAAAATATGAAATTATGAAATTGCAAATTGATTGCTCACTTAGAAACAATTAGAGGATTTAAATTCAGATTAAAATTATTTGATGCAACTTCTTTTTATTTCTATTTCTTTATTCCTTATTGTTGTTTAATTTGTTTTCTATTATATTTTGAGAATTATTTAATATGTACATGTGACCATTTCAAGTGATCATATTCATGGTGTCATGAAGAGAGCTTTCATTTAAAAGTTTTTGTCTCAATTGAAAGAAGGTAAGGTGTATGTAATTTCTCAGTTTGGTATTGGTCAAAATATTAGATTGGATAGAACTACATAAACTTGCAGTTTTCTATTTTACTACCTTTGTGACACGTGGACAATTTGCTTATTAATATTTAATTTTGGCAATTTCAGTTTCTTTCTTCATGATGTTATTCTCTATAGCCCCATTTAATAAGCCTTTTTTTTTTTGGTGTAATATATCTATTGCCTTAACTTTTCTCATCAAATTATATTTGATTCTCCATGCATTACAAAAATAATAATAGTTAATGTTGGGATGTTATTGATATCAATTTTAAATATGCACACGTTGATCCTCATAAAATCTTATTTTCCAATAATGTGTATTTTATTTGTGCATTTTTTTGCCCAAAGTTATGTGTTTTTTATATGTTTTTTTTATATATGAGAAACGTTGTTTTTAAATATGTAATTAATACTTTTTTTTACAAAATGGGTATAAATAATATATACAAAAATACTTAGATATTTAAAATTGTGATTGTATTATATGCAATCATATTAAGTTATTCATTTAAAAAAATTGATTGATTTGGTAACTTTTAAAAAAATAACTATAATTCACACAAAATATATACATAACTTGGAGGAGCATATAAAAATGCTTACTTTTTAATAACTCATGTTATTAAAAACAAAAAATTACATCATACCAAAAAAAACATGTAAAAAAATTA